CAGAAAAATCCATGAAACATCAGTCAATATTCCTTGGCTCACCTGGCTGTTTCTTGACTTCCAATTAACATAAATCAAATTTGAGCAACAACTATTATCTTTCAAAATCAAAGCCACACAAAACAGAAATTGTTTATTCTACCTGCAGATTTCTCATTTACCAAATACAAAAAATTACACAAAACGAATTATTATAATTTTTTATGTGGTTATGTGTGTTTTAGACAGAAAATAGACAAACACAAATTTTTATGCATGATTTTGTTTTTCTTAGATAAAAATACACAACAAAAACTGTTCTGTGTAACTATATTATAGAGAAATTTAGCCCAATTTTTTTGTACAATCTGTGATAAACCGACAACAAATTCAAACAAAAATTATGATCTACAAAAATAAGAACACGAGAAACATAGAAATAACCGTTATTATTAACCAAACAGCCAAACAAATTCCCAAACGACGTGATTATGTCAAAAATATACAAAAACTTAACTGTGTTACAGAGAAATTTAGGTTGATTGGTTAGATTTCCATCCGCAGGCTGCTTATCAACCAAACGGACGAACAAATGCACCTAAATGAATTATTACAGGTGATTATCTACATTTTTGACATAAAATACACAAAAATCCTAACTATTAACTAGAGAAATTTAGGACGACTGGTTCCAAAATCTGTGAAAAACCTATAACAATCATCTGTTAAAATAACAACCATGCGAAACACAGAAATCCTACATTTTCCGCCTAAAGATTTCTCATCAACCAAACAGACAAAGTGTACACAAAAACGAATCGTAATGCGTGATTATGTATGTCCCAGGGGGAATTCGACACATTAGGTCACAAAATCTGAAATTAAAGTAGGCGCAAGATTTCCAGACCTGTCGAGTTCAAAATCTTGAAGAAACTGAGAACAGCGACCTTGATCCTGACTCGAACATTAAAGAAAGAGTTCATTCTGAGAGAGAAACACCAGATTAATTGATGATTCGATGAGAAGGACGAAAATTACCTCAGAAGAAGGAGGATATCGGCATAGCAGAGTTGTTGATCCGCGTAGAACTTCATCGTCTAGGGTTTGCAGAGATCGTCCATTCCCTTAGCGTTAACGTCGCAGAGACGCGTGAATCGGAAGACACAAGGAATTGGCGCTAGAAAATAGAAATAAGACTCGATTTTTATATTCCAGCAAATCGATTAAAGCGTGAACCGGGCCCAATGGGTTTGACGGTCAGGCATATTCTTGTTAGGCCCAATAATAAATTCTTTATAGCCCATGAAGCCCTATCAATTCACCGCCTACAAATTTGAAGGGGAAATATTGATCTCCTCCACATCCTTATATTAAGATTTCCATTGAGTCCGAAACTTTTTTTTCCGCCCCAGTTGAGTCCCGGTCCCTTTAAACTATTTCAATAAGTCCTTCATTTTAATCAATATTTTTCAATT